AAGCAACTAAGGCCAACAGGAAAAGGGGACCAGGAACTAGAGAAAAGGTTAGATCAAAAAGAATTAACCTCGAAGGTAACACACATACACAGGAAATTAATGTGAGTCAACTCCCTGTATAGCTATCCTTATCTCAACCAGCAAAAACCCTTGTTCCTTCCTATTATGGCTTATACTCTCTCTACAACAAAATTAGAAATAAGGGCAAAATAGTTTCTGCTGGGTATTGAGGGGGTAAGGGGGAGAGGGAGGGGGCGGAGTGGGTGGTAAGGGAGGGGGTGGGGGCAGGGGGGAGAAATGACCCAAGCCTTGTATGCACATATGAATAAAAAAAAAATAAATAAACCTTTTAAAATGCAAAGTTGTAAAAAAGAAAAGAAAAAGAAAAAACAACAACAAAAAACTGTACCAAGCTGGTGTCCTCCAAATCAAAACTGTTAGTGATTCTAGCCTTTTGCAAGTTTGTGCATGTGTTCCTAATTTTAATAAGAAAAACTTAATAATGCTGATGTAATGCTGTATACAATGGAAACAACTGGACTGTTCTGTCAATTGCTGAACTGTTCTTCAAAATTTTAACCATGGCTATTTTGTCATTGCAATTCTGATCCTTCTGGAGCATTTGCAGATAAACCCACAGAAAATGACTCTGACAAGTACCTGTCAACTGAGTCAGACATTCTAAATATTGCCCTTGTTTTGTATTTTCCTTGTAAAACTTTGTAACTGTTCTCTGTTGACATTCTGCAGCATTTTTAAGATGCCAGGACATCACCTATAGGACAAAATTAGACTTAAAATGGACTCCAGGTAAACCCAGCCTAAGAGCCACTCCTTCTAAACCTCTTTATTGCTTAAATTTGGCCAAAAGGGTCTTCTTGGCACTGACTTCCACCTGACCCATCTATTACATCCCCTCTGACTGGGACCAGATCAGACCATCAGGGAGAAAACTTCCTCTGACAATGAGGGACCAGAATGCTCAACTGGTAAAATCTTCGACAACGACCATTCAGAAAAACAGTTTGGAAAAGAACTGCTCAGAAGAGGGGACATTCTCAGAATTCAAATAGTCACTTATGCTAGACCTCCCCTAAAATAACCAAAGCCAACAGGCTTAAAGAAGGGGTTCTTACGCATGTATGTATTAAACAGCATTCCAGGCTTCTGACAAAAGGCAAACTGATGTCTTTGACCTGGGCCTTTTGCTTAAGCAGAGGCTATATGACTATTTCTACTGGCTCCAGATGTCCTTTTAGTATAGCTCACGGAGTTGTTTAGCCTCTCTTGCATTCTGCTTTGGAGTGGTGTTTAACTTCTGCTTAGAGACAGCTGGGAGTTTTCTTTCTGTGTATACCCTCTAACTGGACTGACACCTGCACACTGGTAGACCTAGCCCCTAATGTAGCTATTGCCCCAATCAGGCCTTACCTGCCCTACTTGCAGTGACAGTCTGGACAAAATGGGCCATTCAATTCATTCCCTTACTAATTGAGTTGGGGATAGCTACAGTCATACGCACGTGAAGAAGGAGTACCTTCTTCTCACATTACCTAAAATTATCTAAAGACTTTACTGACAGCTTAAAAGAAAATAACAAAAACCATGGTCATGCTTCAGAGTTAAGAAGATACTCTGGCAGCTGTCATTCTTCAAAACAGGAGAGTTGGATCTTCTGACAGCTAAAAGAGCTTCTCTAATCTGATGGCAATCATTGGAGTCCTGGTAAACATGGTTTAAGACTTGGAATTGAAAAGCCTGGATGCTGCCTCTGGCAGGACCCCTTCTGATACTTGTCAACCAGATTTATCTCTTCCAGAATAGAGGCCTTTAAGATTCAAATCGTGATGTTACAGAACTATCCATCTCTGCAAATGGGCGAGAGTCCCACAATCTTATCTGGCTGGAGAAAGACTTAGACAACAAACGCCATCTGGTGGCCAAATGAGTCCCAAGGGACAATGATAGGACAACGTCCCTAATAACTAGGGTCTGCATCCCCTTATCAGCTCTGAAGCAGATACCAAAGATAGACCTTCTTCCCTTCCCCCCTTCAGCAATTCCCCAAAACGATTTTTTCAGGATATTATCTCTCAGGGGGATGTTGAGGCAGGCTAAAAAATAGAGAAAAAGTTATAGGGACTTAGGTGCTATGTGACTTTTCTGAGGGGCAACTATAAAATCTTAGTAGTCACAGAACTCTTTCCGATTGTAAATCCCTTGTAAAAAGTCTCGAGGAAATTCCACCCTGCTTCCCATTTATCCCTGGCCCACCCTCCAGAGACCACCCAGATTCCTCCCCCACTACCCCACTGCTTGCACTTATGATTTAAAAAAGATGCTTGAAACAAAAGGGCTCTCTCTCTTCTCCTTTTTCTTCATCCTCTTCCATCTCACCTGGCAGGGACCACCACCACTTGTTGTGGTGCCTTCCCCTTCCCTTTAACAAACTTTAATATCACCTTCACTATGTCTACATGTCCTACCTGGATTTTTTCCACATGCAATGTAAGAATCTAGTTCTGATTAGAGTTTCAGAGGCTGCCCCTCAAAAGAAAGATTTTCCACCCTCAAGTGTCATCTACAATTTCTTTTCAGTGGTTTATAATTTTCATTATAGAGGTCTGCTGTTCTTATTATTAGATCCAATCAACTAGGTAGGATCCAGTATCTACTGGGGAAGAGGAATCACAATTCCCATCCTCCAGATTTGCTGACGAAGATATACAGGTTGGGGCCCTGGCCTGCTGATTGTTTATAAATCTCATAATTATATGGAATTTGCCTTTCATTTAATTGTTGATAATTAGGAGTGAGACACATGCACATGTCTCAAATGTCCTTGGAATAATTTCTTTGGTGCCATAATTAGCTAGGAGTCAAAGGTAATTGTGGTGGGATAGGGGTCAGGGAAGCAGTGCTTTATATGACTCTGGTCTGGGGAGGGTCTAATAGAGCAGATACGTAAGGTATCTAGAATTTGGAATAGCACCTTATTTGGCTAAAAGTTCCTGAGAGTTTGGTGAAACTTGTGAACAATTCCTAGGTTTGGAATTGTTCTTAGGTTTGAAGTGCTTCCTCAAGCTTTTAGGAAAATCTACCATGGACTAAGGGGAGGAATGACTAAAAGTAAAGCTGGAGATAAAGATGCTTCTAAAGATTAAATGAGATAATAAATCTGAAAGCTCTATTATAACTAAATTTAGGAAATTTGGGTAGAATTTATTTGAACTGCAAATTAAGCTCCACAAAGACATGTATTGGTAGGGAGTCTCTTATCTAATGCAGATCCTTTAGAATGGGGTTTCAATGGAAAGCAGGAGTGAATAGGCAGGTCATAGCAGGTTGTGAAGTGGGTACAAAATGATGAAGTAGAGACAGTATCTAAATTACTCTTTAAGTTAAAAAATGGATGAGAACAAGAGGTGAATCAAAGTTAAAAGGATGTGGACTTGTAAGGAGAAGTTTCTGAAGACAAGCTCCAAATCACAGGTCTCAAATAATAGAAAGTATAGCAGATAACAGTAGCTACTCCAAAGGGATTAGAAAGCCCCCCAGGGAGACCCGGGTTCCAAGAGCAAAATATTACCTCTGTTACTGCTTTTCCTGGGTCTCCTGCTTTTCATTTTTTTTGTCTTCTTTATTTTATTTCTTTACTGTTTTATTCTTTCAGGCTGAAGGTACAGGATTTAATAATGTACACTAGGTAAAAAGATAAAATGGGAGGGCTATGTGAATGAATCAAGGAGGGCTAGTACCAATTTAAAGAATGCTGGGATGTTGGGGGGTGGGGTGGGAATGAACGTGTGATACTGAAATGGTGGGAAAACAACAAAACCCTGTTTAAAGTGAGGTATGCTTTGGCATTTCAAGAACTCCAAGGTCCAAGTAATCCAATTTAGAGGGTAAAATGAGTGAATAACATTGAAAATTAAAGGATAAAGAGGACTGCTGCTCAGAGGTCCTTCATGGGGAACAGAAAATGGTACAAGTGTAGCAAACTTCAAATTTGTGTATTAGCCATTCGTTGAGAAAAGTGTCACCAGACTATAACCTCTATGTAAACAGAGAAGTTGTGTTCACCAACATATCTTCACAGTCCAAGACAATAACAGGCACACAGTAGACAATCAACATTTGTTTTTACATGAAAGAAAGTGACAATTCTGTCATTTTTCAGTATCATGAAAAATATAAAACCATATTTTCAGTAATGGAGAGAGCAGTAATCTTCCATTGTCACTGGCCACATTCCAACTATTATCAGTAAGTAAAGATTTTCTACGGCTTCTGTAAGTACTATAGAAAATCTATGGAGAACTTTACCTTTGTAAACACTTTTAAAGTCCTCACTTGTAAGTATAAGGTAGATGTTAAGAAGACAGAAAGAGAATAATCAAAATGAAGTAACATAAGACTTGGGCTATAAAACACACCATTTCCACTGACAGAGGGAGTGGCAACTTTTAGGCTTGAAAATGTATTGCAGACAAATCTGGTTGGCAAGGGAACTGGCTATTTAAGATTTTTTTCAAGATTTGGCAAGAATAGTTGACCATGGGGGCGGGGGGAGGTGGCCCAAACAATGTATACACATGTGAGTAAATGTAAAAACCATAAAAAAAAAAGAATAGTTGACCTGTTCCCTATTTATAACTATTACAAAGGAAGTAACAGTTTTATTATTATAGGGGAGAAAAGAATGCTTTTAATAAATAACAATGTTGGTCTGACTATCTTTAAGACTTTTTAAAGGTGGTAGAAACACTCCAGTAGCTATGAGTATACTTAACACATAGATTTGGTTTCTAATCACATTATTTGATCAAAGGAACCAAGGTTTCTTGGAGAAATGGCTGATGCTACGACTGGGGCATAAAATATATAAGATGAGCCTGGAGAATCTTTTAGTACCAGAAAGTACAGAAGTGCTTTACAAACTCTACCTTGACAAGAATGTGTCAAAGGGACACAGGGGCCAATTTACAAAGTTCACATTAACCAAATGTGAACAATTTGAACAAGGCATTAAAGTGGTATTGGGTCATTGTGGAAAGTATAAATATCTGTAAGTCCATATTTACATAAATAAATAACTACCTCAGTTAAGTAGTCCAGGTTAACATCATCAGTGATAAGTCACATTGATAGCATGTATCTTTAATATGATGGGATGAGAATGGTAGTTTTCCTATGTGGTCAATCTCCCCCAAATCCATAACTTCAAGTTAATAATGAGAATGACAATAGAAAAATCCCAATAGATAAGCATTCTACAGAATTTCTGGCCAGTATTTCTTAAACACGTCAATATCAAAAACAGGGCAAATATGAAAAACTGTCAGAGCTAAGTGGAACCTAAGAGATACAACAACTAAATGTAATATGGTAATCTGGATGCTGGAACTGAAGAAGAACAGTAGGTAAAAACTGAGGAAATGGTATGGGTTTTTTTTTAAAGATAATTCACCAATACTGGTTCATCAATTGTAATAAATGTAGCCTAGTAATATAAGATGTTAATAAAATGAGAAAATGAAAGTAAGGTATGTGAGAACTCTGTACTATCTTTGCAACTTTTCTGCAAAACTAAAATTATATTCTAAAATTAAAAGTTTATTTAAATTATCCCTAAGTTGGTATAGTTGCTTAAGTTTCAAGTATGAGACTAAATTCTATAGTAAGTGGAATAAAGGTTCTAGAAACAGTGTTCTGAAGACAAGCTCTGGAGGAACCTAATTTCAGTAACTGCATCATTAAAGGAGAGTGGAGGTCCATAGCTCCTGGAGGGAGCACTAACACACATGGCAGACTGTCTTGTCCTTCTTGATTACTTTGTCTAACCAACTCTTCTTCCACTTTCTTCTGATTTATAACCTCTCGTGACTTATGGCCCAATATTATGTGCTTCTTTGACATCTGGTGAAATAGGAAAAACCTCCAGTGGCATAACCACAAATTCTTCTCCCAACTCTGCTCCTGTAGATGAGGCCCCCCCTAGCTGAACAACCCTCCTTATCAACAGGATCAAGTGTAGTTCTTTCTTATCCTTGAGTAGCAGGTATCACTTCCCTGCCAGCCAATCACATTCTCTTAGAGGAATAAAGTATCACCTCACATTCTTGATACTGCAAAGCTTGTCTCCTACAACCCCTGATTTTGCACTTCATCCCTGAGTACATTTTCCATGTGGCTCCACATGGTGTCCTCCACCTGGGCAATGTGTGTATATGACTGATAAATTGCTGTTGATCACATCTGTTTAGTATTGGATATCATGTATTCAACAACTACAATAATCCTAGGATGAGGATTACTCCATCAACAATAGGGTAGGTAAATAGGAGATGATTAAAAAATGTCTTTATAACATGTACTAGCAAAAGGAGAGCAAAAGCATCGCATCACTTTGTTTTATTTTTCCAAGGTACTGGGGATTGAACTCAGAGCCTTGAGCTTGCTAGGCAAGCACTTTGCCACTTGAGCCACCTCCCCAGCCTTTTGCTTTTAGTTTGTTTTTCAGATAGGGTCTCCTGATGACTTTGTCAGGGCTAGCCTCCACCTAACTCCACCCCCGAGCAGCTGAGACCACAGGCATGCACCACCACACTCCTCAAGTATTGCACTTCTGAAGCAAGGAGAGCTATTCCCAAACAAAAGACTTCAGGATTTCAAAAAGCTAAAAGAAAAAAGTCCAAGACGATAGTAACAGTCATAACCATCATTTGTAAAATAAGCCAAGATCTCAGAAAAATGATTAAAACCTTGGAGAGGCTTCAACACCTAGTCAAAAGCCCTCTCCATTTCCTCCCCACTTCCTCCCAGTACACACATAGTTCATACCCCAAGAAGTATAATAGTGTATTCATTCTGTAGCTGAGCAACCCATTTCATGGCTATGGTTGCAAATTGCTAAGGATTAGGGAAGCTATTCATCTGCACATCACTCTGGTAGCTGTAGACATTCCTGGAAACTTTTCTGAAGTTTAGGTGATAATTCTATGTAAAAGTGTAGATGGTGAAAAATGAGATGCAGAATGTCAATAGTTGTGCATTTGTGGAGGTAAAGGACATATGGAAACTCTCTGTACTAGCTGTTCAATTTTGCTGTGAGCCTAAAACTTCCTTAAAAAATAAAATCTATACCCTAAAAATCCACCGGAGTCATTCAATAACAGATTTCAACAGACAGCAGAAAGCATAAGTGAACTTGAAGATAGGTCATTTGAGTTTATCCAGTCTGAGGAGCAGAAAAAGAAAAATGATCAGAGCCTAAGAGACCAGTGGGATACCACCAAGCATACCACTATATGCAATATAGGCCAGAAGAAGGTGATAAAGAACAAAGGGCAGAAAATATATAGATGTAGCTCATTTTATTGTACATCACTTAAATGTACTTCACAGATATTTTAGTTTTTAAAAATTGAGGTTTATGACAACCCTATGTTGAGCAAGTAGATTGGTATCACTTTCCAATGGCATTTGCTCACTTCATGTCTCTGTCACATTCCAGCAATTCTCAAAATATTTCAAATGTTTTCAGGCTTGGGATGTAGTTCACTGCTAGAACACTTGCCTAACATGCATGAGGCCTGGGGTTCTATCCCCATCATCCCCTCAAATCTAACTTTTTCGTTATTGTTATATCTGTTATTGTGATCAGTGAGTGATCTTTGATGTTACCATTGTAATTGTTATGGCAGGGTGCCACAAACTGCACCCAGATGAGGCAGTGAACTTAACCAGTTAATGTTGTGGGTGTTCTGACTGCTCTACTAGACAGGTGTTCCTCCGTTTCTCTCCCTTTCTTTGGGACTCCTTATTTGCTGAGACACAACAATATTGAAATCAGGCCTACAATGGCCTCTAAGTGTTCAAGTGAAATGAAGAGTCACATGCCTCTTATTTTAAATCAAATGCTAAAAATTAAACTTAGTAAGGGGAGCATGTCAAAAGCTGAGACAGACCAACAGGCCTCTTGTACCAAATAGTTAGCCAAATTGTGGATGCAAAGGAAAAGTTCTTGAAATAAATTATTAAAACAGCCTTACTGGCGATATGGAGAAAGTGTTATTGGTCTGGACAGAAGATCAAACTAGCCACAACATTCCCTTAAGCCAAAGCCTAATGCAGGGCAAGACCCTGACTGTCCTCAACACTGTGAAGGTGGAGACAGGTGAGGAAGCTACAGAAGACTGAAGCTAGAAGAGGTTGGTTTATGAGGTTTAAGCAAAGAAACTGTATTCATAACATAAAACTTCAAGAAGAAGCACGAAGGTACAGAAGCTGTAGCAAGTTACCCTAAAGATCTAGCTAAGAGAATTGACAAAAGTAGCTACAGTGACAACATGTTTTCAATGAAGAAACAGCCTCATATTGGAAGATGATATTTAGGACATCCATACCTAGAAAGAAGTCAATGTCTACCTTCAAAACTTGAAAGAATAGGCTGGTTCTCTTGTTAGAAGCTGAACTAGCTGAAAAGTTTAAATTGAACCAATACTCATTTACCTTTCTGAAAATCCTAAGTTCTTTAACAATTATGCTAAATCTACTCTGCCTGCAGTCCATAAATAGAAAAAGACTGGATGACAGCACATCTATTTACAATATGGTTTGCTGCTGAGGGGTGGGGACAATTCATTTTAAGAGATTACTGCTCATTGGCAAGTCATGGGATTATCCAAGTGCTCTGATAG